CCGCGCGCCCGCGGTGAGTGCGGGGCGGGGGCACGTTCCGAAGGAGCAGGGTGTTTTCCGGCGGAAGCCAGGCGAACCTCGAACCAACTGCCAGCTGGTCCCCGCCGTCGCGGGCCGCCCCCGCCGTCGCGGGCTCAGCCGCTGCCGCTGGCCCGCCGCCGCCAGCCGCCGCCGGACGCCGCCGCCCCCCGCCGCGCCAGCGTTCGGCGGCGGACGCCGCCGCCCACTGCCGCGCGGGCCCCGCGCCCGTCGCTACCGGGCACGCGGCCCAGTCCCCGCGGCCCCGTCTCCTCCTCGCCCTGTGGCGCCGGCGGGGCTCCGCCCGCCCGCCTGCTGCGGCGGCCCGCCAGCGCGTTGGGGCCCCGCCAACAGCCGCCCTCCCCCGCCGCTGCCGCGTGCTCCACCTTCCGCCGCCGCCTCCTCCTCCTCCTCCTCCTCCTCCTCCTCCTCCTCCTCCTCCTCTCCTCTTCCTCCTCCTTCCTCCTCTTCCTCCTCTTTCCTCTTCCTCCTCTTCCTCCTCCTCCTCCTCCTCCTCCTCCTCCTCCTCCTCCTCCTCCTCCTCCTCCTCCTCCTCCTCTTCCTCTTCGGCGACGCTGGTTTGGACGAAGACGAGACGCTCGAGCTGCAAGCTTCTGTGGCAGAGCGCTAGGCGCAGGCCGAGATCCTGGCAAGCGTGCCCGCGCTGGGCCGCTTGACAGCGCTGCTGAAGGAGAACGGCCGCGCGCGAGGGATTGTGGCAGGCGGCGCCTTCCGCCGGCTCGTGGACCTGGCTTTCTCCCGGCAGTTCTGGCCTGAAATGGGCGACGCCTGCGCGCCGTTCGTTCAGGACGCCTTGTTGACGAGAGCTGGCAGAAGAAAGCGCCGCGAACCTCCGAGCGACCACGTGCGCAGACCTTGTTGCCACCATCGTGCGCATCGACGGCGTCGGGGCGTTCGACCACGTGCGCCGCGACCGCGTGAACGAGAAACTCGTGACGCTGCCTGGGGCGTCCGCTCTTGTCCCCGTCGTGGTGGTGTCCTACGGCCAGTCGTCTACGTGCCCTCTGGCAGGCGACGCCAGAATTCTGCACGAGGTGGAGAGCAAGTCGACCCCCCCGCTCATGGCGGCGCTCGTTCTGGAGGGCTCGCGCGCAGCAGCCGGGCGAGACGCTGATCGCGTACCTGGACGACGTCGACATCGTCTGAAGACCAGGCTGCGCCACAGCAGCTTTCCTCAGGTCCCCGCCGCCAGGCGGGAGTGGGCGAGCATCGAGTCGAACCTGGGCAACTGCCGCATGCGGAATCGTGGCGGCCTCGAACTGGCGGGGCACCTCGTGGGCACAAACGTCTGCGTGTGAAGCACCCACAAGCATGAGGAGCGCCGCGGCCTCAAGGTGCTGGGCGCGCCGCTGGGCACATGTCCGTCCCTGGCCAGCAGGCGGACGGGGAACGGCGATTCCCGCCTGCCAGACCTTTGGTGCGCCTGGTGCTCCTGCTGATTTCTGCGGCGCCGAGGTGCGCCCACGTACTGTGTACACTGCCGCCGTCGTTGTCGCGACCCGACGCCGAGGCCGAAGACAGCTCGCTCCAGGAGGCGCTCCACAGACTCGTCGACCTCGCCTCCGAGCCAACAGACCCAGAACGACTTTTCCGAGTGAGCTCGCTGCCGCTCGGCCTCTGTGGCTTCGGACTGAGGCCATCAGCGCGGACAGGGCGTCCTTGGCGGACGCGCGGCGCCCGACAGCAGCATCAGAGCACACCGCCGCCCTCCTCGCCCGAACTGGCGCCGCAGCCCCGTGCCTCCAAGAAGCAGAGCGCGCGAGGGCCGCGGCCGTTCGCGACGGCTTCGCGACGTGCTCCGACCCTGGCAGGAGGCCTGGGGCGGAGCGCGCCCTGGGTAAGCGGAGGCAGGGCCTCCTCTGCCTCACCCTCGTCCTTTTCCTCCTCTGGCGCCTCTTCCTCTTCTGTCTCCTCCGGCGTCTCGTCCTCGGCTTCCTCTGGCAGCGATTATTATTTTGCCGTCTCCAGCGCCTCTTCCTCCTCCGGCGTCTCCGTGAGTCCAGCGGCAAAGCTCCCAATTCTCTTCGTAGGCTTGTGCCACGCCAGGCTCCTGGTGCTACGCTGCCTGCCGTGTGTGAGGGTCCAAAGACCTGGCGGTGGGTCTGGGTCCGGGGGATTGGGTTTCACAGCCCCAGCCTACACCTGGGAGTGGGGTCCGCAGGCGGGTGCGCGGCAGCCCCGTCCCACCTCCCTACTTCGGGCGCCCTCTCTGCTTCTCCTTCTCCTTTGCCTCGGCGTCTGGCGTGGCTCCTTTCTCTGGCGCTGCCAGGCGTCGCCCTGCCCGCAGCCCCTCTTCAGCAGCTGCGGCTCTCCCTCAGCAGCCTCCGCCGCTGGGCCCTGGCCAGCGGCAGCCCGGCCCCGGCCCGGCCCCCTGAAGCCCGGCCGGCCTCGAGCCAGGCCCTTGAGCCTGGAGCCACTCCGGGCACTTGAGCCAGGCGGGACCTACCGCCTCCCCTCTCCCCCCCTCAAGCAGAGGGAGGGCGCCTGCGCTGCAGGGGCTGAGGGCCAAGGCGCGCGCCGTCGCCGCGCGGCCGGCCCGACGCTCCCGCTGGGTATGACAAGAAAGGAAGGGCAGATCACGGTCAAGGCCGACCTGCACTATAAGACTGGACTTCGCCGTTGCAGCGCAGCCTTGGACGTTCAGGCTTCCGACGCCGCCGGAGCTGCGGGCCCGCCGTTGGAGTTATCAAGCCAGCAGCCATTGCGCACGGCCGTTTTAAACCCGGGCCGGTGTGGCTTGCTCGCCCTCGGCGCAGACGCGCTCTTAGATTGGCGGTTGCAGGCGATGGCGCAGCTTCTGCACGATGAGAATATCGATATTTGCATCACCCCCGGTGCGCGATTCCCGCCGGGTGCGGCGCTGCCGGCAGGGTACCCGTACTGTTGGCTGGGCGAACGCTCTGCTTCGTGGGGCGCTGTCGGGATCTTCTTGCGACCCGAACTGCTTCCGGTAGTCCGCCCGCTGCCTGACGTCTCGTCTGCGCGGGTCCAGTGGTTTGATGTTTTGACCTCGTCGAGCGGCACTACTGCCGCGTCGGGGCCGTCTCTCCTTGCCGCAGTTTACCCAGCGCCAGGCGGCGACGTGGAAACCTGGAGCGCGATCCTGGGTGAGCTCGCTCGATTGCGCTTGGGCTTTCCGCATGCCTCGTTCCTCGTCGCTGGGGAGGCAACTATCCATCTGACCTGCGTCCTTTCGCACCGCCCGGGGTGCGGCTGCTGCGATTGTCACCACTCCCCGGAAGATCGCGATATCGAGGTGGTGCTGTGTGCTGCCTCGCTCATCGCGTGCAAACCGCCGGTGCCCACGCACGATTCTGGCACGTACATTGACCTTGTCCTCGCATTGACCTTGTCCTCGCGGACTTGGGCCAACAGATCTCCGTTGCTGTCAAGGAGGCCGTGGCCGTGGCCTCTGACCACCGCCTGCTGTGCTGGTCAATGCCGTGCCAGTGTGACCGCTCCGCGCACGTAGGTTTTGGCCGAGTCAGCTGGCGCACTGATTCCCAGTGGGATGACGCCCGTAGCGCGGTGGAACCGCTTCTCCAATTTGCAGCGTCTGCGGTTGAGCTGTGCGTGCATGCGCCGTGGCTCCGCCCTCCGTGGAGCGGAGGCAAGGCCTCTGTCGCCCAGCGCCGCGTGCTCCTGGACGTGGCCGCGTGGTCACGCGACGTCACGCGACGTGCTATACACTCTTGCGGGCCACGCTGCGGGGGTCACCCGTGCGGTGACGTCGGCGGCGTCTTGCAGGCGACGCCGGCCCGTTGGGCCAGCCCCGGCGGATTTCTCTGATCACGAGGCTTTGAAGAAAGCGGCCACGCAGGCAGCCTGGGATGCCAGGAGGGGCGCGGCCCAACGTTTTCTCCACCTTCGGGCTTTGAACCCTGGGGAAGCGGAGCGCTTCCTGTCCTCTTTCTTCGCTGGTCAAGACAGGTTTGAGATCGCACTCGCCGGCCCTGCCACGGGACGGGGTTTCAGTGCCGACGAGATGCTTCAAGCCATCGAGCAGGATAGGCAGGCGAGGGCCTCCAACAACTTTCCACATGACCGTGAGGCATGCCTTGCCACCGCACGGGCGGTGTCCGCCGTTCGCCAGATCGGCGCGGCTCGTGCTGGAGCCGGTCTCTCCACGAGGCGCCGGCGCCTTTACTCCATGGCTGAGCTGGCGGACGTTTTAGAGACATTTTTTTTGTTTTTGTTTTTTTTTTTCTTCTTCACTCTCCTCTCCCAGTCTCAGTCCCAGTCCCTGGCCGAGTCCGCAGCGAAAGGGGCCGCTGCACCTGGCTCCCTCCGGCTGGCCCCCTGGCTGGGCTGCCGACGCCCGCGGTCGCCTTAGGCGGCCCGACGGGCCTGCCGGCCACCGCGCGGTCTTCGCGCCGCCAGCCGCCGCCGCCCGCCGCCCGCCCGGCCGAGCCGCCCTGCGTGCCTCGGCCTCCGGAGACTTCCGGCGGCGTCCGGAAGCTACGGAAGCGCTCGAGGCCCTGGCCCGGCCGGCTCCCCTCCGTCCCTGTGGTCCACACGTACAAAAAATGTACGTGAACGTGTTGCGTACAAAAAGCGTGTGTTGCGTGAATGTAAGCGTGCGTGATCAATACTTGGAGTCTGCCACCCCCTTGTGTCAAAAACAATCATACATTCTTATCATACAAATCGAAACGTTGTAATCCGAGTATAGAAAAGAAGTGACGTAGAGAAAAAACATAGTTTTAACAGGGCCTCGAGAGGACATGGAACGCTTGGGATGGGGGGCAAAGCGTTGGAACGTTTGGATTCTCACTCAGGTCGGGGGCCTCTTGGACACGCGTTGCCTACTCTCGATGTCATGGACACGCGGGGCTGTCTGCGATACATAGCGCCACCGCCCCCCTGCAGTCACCCATCCATCCACAATACTTTCAGTAGCCAGTTTGGGCTCAAGCCAGATGTTTTGGCGATCCGGTTCACGTTTGATTCTTCTCGCGCTAATGGTGCAGCGCTCTGCTTCAAAGTTGGATTCAGATGGTTTGAAACAGTTCGAAACGGTCATCGAGCAACGAGCTGTGCAGAGTGGCAAATCGCTGATCAAGTACTCGGAGGAGAAGAACACGCAGAAGGCGACGCTGGACAAGAAGAGGGTCACGGAGTACGTTGACTTCATCAAGGCTATTCAGGACGCCGTCCCGAATATGAGCATCACTAGCGGCGACGCGAAGAAGTGCCTAGGGAGCGTCTTCGACAACCACAAAGCAGATTGGAACGTGAAGGATGCGCACCGAGAGGACTGGATCAACACAATGGAGCTCCGCATTCGAAATCTCTGCGCTAGTGTCAAAAAAGCAACATCTGTCAAAAAACCTGCGAAGTGGCTGGTCGACTTGGGACTCGCGACCTCACCTTGCCCCACCGCCGACGACGAGGACGATGATGAGAGCGGCAAGGGCAAGGATGACTGCACTGTCGGATGGAACTTGGAGCTGGGTTTGGCATTCAGGCGCAAGGTCGTTAAGGGCAAGGCAAAAGAAGAGTTGTCTCTACCGATCAATACTTCTAACGTTGCGAAGCTCAGCTCGGACGACCCGATTGTTGCAGAATGGCACGACGGCTATACCAAGGAGATCAACGACATGACCAAGGAGCGCTGGGAGAACCTGACAAAGGCAAGCCACGCGAAGTCTGGCGAAGGCCCCCTCTGGGAAGAAGAGTCCAGCATAACCCGTAACAAACTGTACATCGACCAGAGGGTCGACAGGCACTTATTAATGTCATTATACGAGCAAGGTTCACAGATTCTCATGATGCGCCTGGACACGTTTGCGGACTTGAAGGGCCACAACCAGAGGCTTCCGAACAACCACGAGGCCGTGTTGACAGGCCTCTCCATCATGAAGCCGATCGCTGAGCAGTACCGCACGGGCAACATCAAGCAGGGTGACAGGACGGCGCTCAGGGAGGCGAGAAATAAAGCCATCACCGAGTGGAAGAGCAAGGGCGAGCTCAAGAAGGTGCACGGCAAGGACAGCTCCACGGTGACCAGCCCCACGAAGACGGAGGGGCGCGACAGCCACGTCGCCCTGAAGAGGCCTGCTGCCAGTGAGGACGCAGCCACTCCTCCATCAAAGCGGAGGCCTGCTGCGTCAACGCCGAAGTGCGGTGACGCCGCCATTCCCCAGAAGCCAATTGCGCCATCCGCATCTGCTTCCTCTGAGGCGCACCTTGCGGCAATGACCGCGTGGCTGGGGTCAGCAGCTGACTGCGGCCCCCCGAGGCGCTCGTGTGCCCAGATCTTCCAAGATGCGGAGCACTCCGCTTCCGATTAGATCAGTGGCTGATCGGAGGCAGCGTCGCGAGACGCAGCAATCCATATCGGTAGGAGTCGGCACCCTGCCGATCGAGCCAGCGAAGCAACTCATGTACAACGCATGCATCAACATGCGCGTGAAAAGCAATCCCCCTTGGCCTTGGGGCTATCTTGCGGCGTCTTAAGGTCATATTGGGCCATATTGGGGCGTCTTGGGGGCATCTTGGGGCCATCTTGAGTGGAACGGAAACGCCTTTCCATTGGGGGGCAGGATGGGGGAGGGCGAGGCGGGGCGAGGGAGCCGAACCCTTGAGGGGAGAGAAGGGAACCGACCGACTCAGGCTGGATGCAGCTCGAACTTCTAACAAGATGGGCGATGCACGTGGCCACGTTCCTTCGCTGCTACTACCTTCAGCGCCTCCACCCAACCCCCTCCGTAGCTATTTTGGTTCGAGAGTCGCTTCGGATTTGCTTCAGACCGTCAGCCACGGGTCTGGTCCAGAAGGATACATTCATGGCACCGTTGTGCCCGATGAAGGTCGCGGCCCCTCGGAAAGCAGCAGGTGCCGCGAAGAAACAGAAACAAGCCACGCCGAAGCAGCCACCCACGGATGAGCACGAGTCCGACGCCAGCACAGCGGTGACGTCAGTCCCACAGGCTGATGCGCCCCAGACAAAGTACAGAAGGATTGACGAGTTCATGACTCCCGTAAGGCGCATCGGCGGCATCGGCGGGAGCACAGTGGACGTCAGTTCAGCGGCCAGCGAAGCGGCGCCATCGATTGCCGCTGACGTACACACTGTACTCTCGGAGGCCTTAGCAGACGTGCCGATGCAGCCTGCGCCAGCCCTCAGCACGACCAATGGTCAGAGCAATATCCTCGAGGCCAGAGACGATCAGGCCCCTGCCGCTTCGATGAAGGATGTGATCGTCCAAGGCGTCGAGGCGGGCCGTGCCGATGAGTTCCTGGAGAGCGAGGTGGGGGCGCAGCTGACGGAGGAGAACATGGCGAAGTTCGACAGGGTGATGGGCCACATGCTCAATCATGAAGCTCGCGCCGAGTGCTTGATTGAGTCGGCGAAGCGAGCCCACGCCGAATCCAAGCTGGCCTCGAAGGACGAGAAGCTGCTCACGTCGTTGCAAGAAGTCATCCAGACGGGCGCCTTCAACACCCGCAGCAGTTATGGCAATCGGTTCCGCGACGAGCTTGCGCAAGACAAGAAGGAGAAGGAGCTCTACGACAAGAAAGACAGGAACGGGCAGCAAGAGTACAGGATGAAATGGGCCCTCGACACAGTAGGGGCGCTCGTGAAGAAGAAGACCCACACGACTACGCTGAAGGAGTCCACAAAGGCAGAGTACAAGTACATGACGTTCGGCAAGATGGTAGAGGAGTTCGGCGGTTGGAAATGCCAGGCTGCCCGCAAAGGAGCTTCTACCGCGGCCCTCAAGTGCTTGGCCATGGGCCACCCGTTCGTGAAGAAGCACAGCCAGTCGGACATGACTATCTTCGCGATCGTCGAGGAGAGCTGGAAGGAGACGTTCGAGCAGAGCTGGTCGGAGCTGGTGCAGAGCGTGTCTTCCCACGCAGCCGTCGGTGACCTTCCAACTGGCACTCCCGAGGAGCCGAAGGGCCCGCAGACGGACCAGAAGCACCCGAGGCTCCCGAAGGACCCGAAGGGCCCGAAGGATGCGATCAAGAACCCGCCGAAGGAGCCGCCCATCGACGATGCCGATACGAAACAGAAGAAGAAGGAGATCGAGAAGCTCTTCAAGGAGGCTGGCAAGGTGAAGCACGACTTCGTTTCCGTCACGCACACTGCGATCGACATCCTCTCGCAGATCAACGACGAGACTGCTGACTGGAAGTTCGCGCGCGGCGACAAGCAGGACATGCTGAAGGAGAAGATCGACGACCTGAAGGCATCCCTGAGCCCCGTCGGGAGAGAGTTCGTCCTGGAGAAAGACCAGAAGAAGTTCAAGGCGAACCACACGACTGCGAGGCTCGTCGTCGAGATGCAGTCCTTCAAGGACTTGCAGAGCAAAGTTGCCGAGTTGCAGAGCATCGTGGAGAGGCTCGGCGAGGCAAAGAAAGCGCTGAAATTCTGACTGCCTCGCTTCAGCAACGGTTGCGGTGCTCCCTGGAGTGTGAAACATGCTTCGGGTCGACGCACGCTTGGGTGAAATCCGACCAGCCCATCAGGAAAACCGCAAGCTTTGAGTCGATTTTCGCGCCCGCGAGGTGCGAATTTGGTTCCCGAGCCCGAAATTTGGAGTTCCCGAACTATTGAAACAACTATTGAAACAACTATTGAATCAACTATTGAATTAACTATTGAATCAACGGTTTCGCTTGAGACATCCTCAAAAAAACAATTGAATCGCCACCCAATTCAACTATTGAAAAACTATTGAAAAACTATTGAACAACTGTTGAATCGTCGCGGGCCCTCGAATTGAGTGGCGGTTTCTGGGATTCTGTGATTTTCTGCAGAGCGTTAGCTAGGGGGAGCTGCAGATGGCAATGGCCGCGGTTGATTGCCGAGCGCTTGGAGTCGCATGCTAGATGCCATGTGAGCCTTCAAAAGAAGAGCCCTTGTTACCGAGGGGAATGGGGGAGGAGGAGGAGGGGGAGGGAGGAGGAGAAGGAGGAGGAGGCGGAGGAGGAGGAGGAGAAGGGGGAGGAGGAGGGGGAGGAGGATGGGGGAGGAGAAGGCGGAGGAGGAGGAGGAGGAGGAGGAAGCGGAGGAGGAGGAGGGGGAGAGACGCGACCTAGTGTCGACATGAATCTACAGGGGCACGCGCTAGGGGGTGAGGATTAAAGGTCCCCCTACTCCGGAGAAAAAACATTCCCGACATACCCAGACTTTGCCCCGGCCCCGACGGCTCCCTGGAATGCCCAGTCGCCCTCCGACCCCCTGGAATGCCCGTGCTCGGTTGTGCTATCCTACCCCCCTCTTTCCTCTTCCTCTTCCTGGCTCTAAGGACCCTTACGGCCACGGGAAATCTCTCCCCCGTCCTCGTCGCTTTCGACGTGCGCAAAATTCGTGGCTGCTCGTCGCTCTGCCTACCGCAGTCCATATAGAAGAGCCTCGGGCCCCCCTACTGATGCTGCTGCTGTGCTGCTCGCGCCTCCCTCCTCCCCATCCGCCCCCTCCTCCTCCTCCCTCCCCGCTCCTTTTCCGCAGCCGTTTTGGCTTAATAGATCTCTGCAGGGCGCGTTGCTTCAGACCCCTGGCCCGACCATCGCTAGTTCATGCCGCGAAGCTGGGCCACGCCGACAGTTGCTCCAGAACCCGCGGCCCATGCGTGGGAAGATGCATCGGTTGATTCTGATTCGCAGTGGGAAGAAGCATCGGTTGATTCTGAATTGTTGGCTCACGGTGACATCGATGGCGCGTCAGACGGCGAGTTTTCGCAGTCGGACGCCGAGGGTGCTCGCGCGACACCAGGCCAAGAGTTCATTGATTATATGATTTGTCTGCTCCTCAGTCGGTCTATCAATGCAAAGAAATTCTGCACGGTCATGTACTACGCATCGCGCGCTGGCATTGCGGATGCCGACGCATACAGCGTGGACCCACGCGCCCCGTCTGGGCATTTTTCCAGGCTTGTCAAACGAAAGCTGCCAGCATATGCTCCAGACAGAACAAAAAAGCTTTACAGATTCACCGCCCCGTCTTACTCCAAGGCCAGGCTGGGGCGCGATGAACACACATTCACTTGCATGGTGCCACACGAGCTGGTTGCAGAGAGTTTGGAAGATGACCCAAGTATCATTGCTGACGTTCAAGATGCGATCGACTCGATGGAAATGCCACCGTGTTTCTTCGAGAACCCAATTGTCCAAGAACATCTGGGGCCAGACTCGCCAATCATACCGCTGGGGTTGTTCACTGATGGTGTCCCGTGCAGCCAAACCGACACAGCAGTCGGTTTTTGGTTAGTGAACATGGTCACGCAATCTCGAGTGTTATTCGCGTTAGTACGCAAGAAGCTTGCGTGTCATTGCGGCTGCAGGGGCTGGTGCACATATTTCAATATTTTTTCTTTCATAGCATGGAGCCTACGCAGCTTGTGTAAAGGGTCCTTCCCACTTGAGCGCCACGACGGATCGGAATTTCAAGATGACGATTCATACAGGAAGATGTTGGCTGGCAAATTGATGCGCGCAAGAGGTGTGCTCATCTATAGCAAGGCCGACTGGGCTGAATTATCGACGACGTTTGGGTGGCCCTCGTGGGGCGACAGTTTGAGGCCGTGCTTCCAATGCAATGGGTTTGGCGACAACTTGTATCTCGATGTTGGCTGGAGTTTAACTGGGTCTCCTTTCAGAGAGAACGTTGTCGGTGATTACGATTGGGCCTGTCAGATGTGCGAGCATGTTGTTGTTCTGTCGCATGACACACACAAGGCCCTGTGCGACGTGTTGTTCTACGACAAAAGATCTGGAAGCAGTTCGTCAAAGGGTCTAGCCCTTAAGGTTGCTTTGCCCGCCCTCGGTCTCCAGCAGGGGGACAGGGTGGAGCCAACAAAGTGGATGCCAGATGTGTCAGCAATATTCAGAATCACGCAGTTTCCATGCCCAATTCTTATTTGGAGACCGTCTGCTGAAACAATTGCTCGGCATAGAAACCCCATATATGATATCGAATTTGGCGTCGACCCGTGCACGCATACTTGCATCGATTCGCTGCACGCGCTATACCTCGGCTGCATGAAGGATCTGTGTAGGGAGCTCGCGTGGGCAACGATTGACGCTGGCCTGTGGGGCACGGCAGGGACAGTGGAGCACAATCTCGAGGTCGCTGCCATTGCTATGAAGCACGAACTTCATGGGTTCTACACCGAATGGAAAGAAACAGGTTTGAATTCGACTCTGGCGGAAATCCACGCCATGAGTGCCAAGTTGTTTGGCACAAATTCAGACAGGAAGTTGAGGACGAAAGGCGCTGAAACATGGGGCTTCCTGTTATTTCTAGTCCACATGTTCAACCGTCGTTGGAAGATTCAAGGCCGCTTGCAGCGCGAATCGGTTCGACTTTTCGAGGCCGCTGAATGCATGATCAAACTGTGCTACCGCATGGATAATATCGGCTGGAAATTCTGTGACTCCGACATAGATGAGTGCTTGGAACATTGGAAACGGTTTTGTTCTCTCACCCGTCATTGTGAGCGATTGCTTACGCCAAAGCGCCACATCCTGTGGCACATGCTTCAGCGGGCTGCGTTCTTGGGGAACCCACGGTTCTACGCAAATTGGACAGACGAGGGGCTCAATAGAGTTTTGAAAGGTGCATGTCGCGAGCAGTCCCAGGTGACGTTCGAGGAGTGCGTGTTACTGTCGATGCCTTTCCTTGTGTAAAAAGTAACCCCACAAACATCACGCAAAACACGCATAACAACAGTTTGCTATTTGCGTGGGAAGAGGTGTCGGACAAATTAGCACACATGTAAACAGATCCCCACCGTCTCTTCCTCCCCCATCAGCCTCCCCCCCCTTCCGAGTAACCGTGCAAATCAGCAAAGTCGAGATCCGAGGAAATAGGAAACCAGCAAAGTCGAGATCCGAGGAACAGGAAAACCAGCAGAGTCGAGATCGAGGAACCAGGGGAACCAGCAAAGTCGAGATCCGAGGAACCAGGAAAACCAGCGACGTCGAGATCCGATGAAGCAAGACAACCAGTGAAAACGAAATCAGAGAAACCAGGGCAATCGATCGAGCCGAAATCCGAGAAAGGACCAAGAGGGGCCGAAGGAGCAGGAGGAGCAGCATAAGCAGGAGGAGCAGGTGGAGGAGGGGCTGGGCGAACAGGGGGAACAGGCGGAGGAGGAGGAGGACGGGGAGGAGGAGGATGGGGGAAGAGGAGGGGGGGAGGGGGGAGGGGGGCGGGGAAGGATGAGGAGGGGGAGGCGGAGGAGAAGGAAGAGGGGGAGGAGGGAGGGGTGGCCAGGGGGAGGAGGAGCAGGAGGAGGATGAGGAGGAAAGGGAAGCGGATGAGGGGAGGAGGGGGAGGAGGAGAGGGGCTTTGAGGATGAGAAACAACAATGGAACATGTTGCGGATAAAAGGAGGGAGAAGAGGAAGAGGAGCGGGCGAGCGGCGAGCGCGCGGCCGCCCGCTTGGACGTCAAGGTCAAGGCGCCACCCGCGGCCGCGGGGCAGGGGGAGGAGGAGGAGCGGGGGGGGCATTCCTCCCCCTCCCCCTCCTCCTCCTTCCTCCTCCTCCTCCTCCTCCTCCTCCTCCGCCGCCGCTGCCTCCTCTTCCTTATCCTCTTCCTCCGTCGCCATTTTGGCTCAAACCATTTGTTGGGTAACGCCTGGGGCGAGTGCTCAACGGCACTGAGCGCGGAAAACCCGAACGATACACTCATAAAGCGTCTGCGCGCTCCAACAGCCACAACTTCAACGTACATCTTGGAACCCATAACTGTACGTAAAATATCACGTACAAAAACTGTCCGTAACGGACAGTTTTTTGTACGTGATGGACCACAGGGGTGCCCGGGCAAGGCCGCCCGCGAAGGCCGCCAGAGCTGCCCCAGCTCGGCGGCCCGCGGCCGCAGCGCCCGCCGGCCCTGCCCGCATGCCGTGCGAGCGCCTGCCTGCCCAATCCCAGCCCTGTAACCCACGACGTCGGGTCCCAGCTTCGCGTCCAGCATCGCGCTGAGCAGCACGAATGCCTGTTGCCACTGCCCCCTCTTCTCGCCCGCGCTGATCCCAGCATTGTAGCTGATGACACTTGGCGCCACCTTCGCCTCCCACATCTCGCTGAGCAGCGAGAGAGCCCGCTGCCACTGCTCGCCGTTCGTGCACGCGCTGATCCCAGAGCTGTAGCTGATGACACTTGGCTCCACCTTCGCCTCCCGCATCTCGCTGAGCAGTGGGAGAGCCTGCTGCCACTGCTCGCCGTTCGTGCACGCGCTGATCCCGGGGCTGATCCCAGAGATGTAACTGATGGCATCTGGCTCCGACCTCACTTCCCACATCTCGCAGAACAGCGATAGAGCCCGCTGCCACTGCTCGCCTTTCGTGCACGCGCTGATCCCAGAGCTGTAGCTGATGACATTCGGCTCCGATCTCACTTCCCACATCCCGCTGAGCAGTGAT